TTTATTAGCAGCATGTCTAGCTGCTGTTAGACCTAATAAACGAACAATAAGCAAGGTCCTTGCTAAATATTCGCGCCTAGTCAACACTAGAGAGAGTCAAGTTTGGTGTATAGCATGGCTACCACAGCATACTGTTGCCTACAGTATGTTGTGCTCACACAATCTACTTAGCATGTGAGTAGAAAGCCACAGCCCTCTAGTAATTATTAATACTGCTCTCTGCCTTATATACAACAAAGGAGAAAGTACTACAGTAGGAGTTACAAGCTTAGTGTGTAGTTCTAGAGTGTTTAACTATTGCACACTATTTATAGTCTTTGCTCTCTTACCCTTATTGTAACCCTCTATTACTGCACTTTGCATCCTACAGCTAGCTCTGTTAGCACCTATGCAATACAAAGACTGCGTGATCTACCTCTCTACACTATCTAAAACGTTTCTTGTCCTCTACCCTAAGTTTAACCTACATTCACTAACCTATCTACTGCACCTTGCTTTAGTTATGTCTGCTTCTTGCGCCTTTTTTACAATACAAGATAGCGCTTATCTTAATCTTAAGGGCTTGTATTACACTACTTAGCTATTGTCTAGTAATAGGCTTTACCCCTAACAACACAACAATAAACAAAAGTACAAAAACTACTCTCCCTACTACTATAGCGCTACATAAAAGAACGTTTGGCAGTATGCGTGACTCTGCACGTACAATTCTACAACACTTATCGCTAGGAATAGGTGGCTTGGTTTTGTTGCAGCAGACGTAGCCGCTGTATAGTCGATGAAAAATGTGCTAAGTTGCTTGCTAGCTAGGAGGCGACTATATATACATGTCCTAAGACGTGCTAGTCTAAGGTAGTTAACAGGGGTAATAATTAAGGCTATAGGACTAACTTGCACTGCAACAGGTTTAAGAAGGCAAAGGGAGCACTAGACACTAATTATAGCACAATAGAAGAGTAGAGGGCAGTTTAGCTATTTAAAGGTCCTATAAGTCTTTAGCTATAGGAGCTTAAGTTAGACACAGGGGAGAGGATGTACACAGGCCTTCTAGATCTAATATAATATATGCAGGAAACAACAATATATGCCTAGTAAGTATAGTAAGTACAGGAGAAACTTAATATAGTCTTTTAGACACTGTGTTAATAGTAAACTTAACTATATATAACTACTCTTTTAATATACTAGCTACTTATATAATATCTTAGGAGGCCTTTAGGTAAAAAGATAACAAATGTTATACTATACTGTGTGCCACAGTACACTTTAAGTTTACTTTAGGCTTTGCTAGAACTACAAGTTAACTGTCCTAGCCTACACTGCTTCATAGTTTGTGATGCACAACCACATATGTTGCTGATCTGCTTTCGCAGGGCTGCGATATTAGATTGAGCGATCTTGAGCAGCTTCTCTCCTGCTATCTGACGTGTACGCTCGCTGTTGTGACACTCCTGCGCAGTATCAGTCAGAGTCTTCTAGGCAATCCAGGCATTATAGCGTTGTTTTAGCTTGCGATTGAACGCACTTCTAATTGCTTGCAGCTTAATTTCGTGCGCCTCTCTAAGGCGAACAAGTTCTGCGGAGTGTGCCACCTGCATAGCAGCTAATAGTCCTGTACAGCCTTCTACTTCTATTGTAGCATCACTTGCTACTTCCTTTGGATTCGCGGCATCGTATAGAGCGGCATTAATAATACTGCTTTGTGTAGGCGATGGAGAAGAGGGATAGCTAGGTGGAACTACAGGCTGCTGTTTCTTGCGGTTCTTTAGCTAGGTCAATGGGCTCCCCAGCTCTAGTGACGAGTATTGTTTGGCCTCTACATCTAGTGACGAGTATTGTTCAGCCTTCACGTGCACTAGTGTTGGGGTTAGTAGATATCAGTATGCGTTGCGTGAACTGCAGGCCAAGAAACCTACTGTGTTAGCTATAAGGGCTGGCTAGTAGTTAAGCCCTATAGGTACTAACTAACAGTAAGTAAAGCAGTTAGAAGTTAACAGGCAGACTAATAGCTACTAATGCGCTAGGGCTAAAGGAAGACAAGGGCAGAATATATAGCTAATGCACATAGATACTATTTATATTATAGTGTTAGTGTCTAGGGTTAAGGTGTAGGAGCACAACTGTAAACCTTATAAAGACATAGTTTAGACATACTATTGTCTATAGTATAGATTAGTATAAGGGCTATAATAACTGTTTCTGCTATATGCAGAAAGTAGTAAAAGGGACTTATAGCTAAGGTCTTGTAGCTGCCTTAACAAAACTATAGTACGTAATTCCCTAACTTATAACACTATAATTGTAGAGCATACAATTAATATTCCTATTATAGTAGGGAGTTAGGGTTAGCACCTGCTTTTTGCGCTAAAACTGCTAAATTAGCCTCTTCTAAATTCCCTACAACTATTAAACGCACGCAGCAGGACACTAACACACCTATTGCTGTTAAGTGGGATCCCTGCTCTAATAGTCTGCAGGTGCACACTAGAGGCGCTGATTGACGTACTATTGGCCAGAGCATGAACTAGCGCTACCTAGTAGCTACTAAGCCAACGCTGTAACCACCCACGATTAACCTACCCGCGCGAAGCTAGTTTATATTAACAATATTCTTACTAGCAGCAATACATAATTGCTTAAGTTAGGAATGCTGTATTAAGTAAGACTAACTAATGTTATTAAGAAGGAGCTTAGCCTAAGCAATAGACAGTACAAAGTAATATATACAGCATTTATAATAAAGATGCAAGAGGAGGGGTTAATTAGGGCACAGATGTAGAGCATACAATTAAAAGCTATAGTGCAACACATAGGTGCAGAAGTAAGGCAAGATTAATATAAGGTCTTAGGCAGGGTGTTAGATAGAACCTTTAACGCAAATATCCTACGCATTACGCAATGTATTAATAGCAACATACACTAAGTAAGGCAGTGACAGGGATAAGCAGACGCGAGAAAGAAAAAGGCAGATAAAAGCTGTGACATACTATTACAACAGCAGCATTTAGCGTCATAATACGCAGAGGAATAGTTATAGGATGTATAGGATAATAAGCACTCTGTGCCTAGCAGAGATAATGTTAACAAGTTACTTGCTATAAAGATGTAGGGGAAGGACCTGTTATAAGAGAATAACGTCTAACATACAACAGTCTAGGACAACTGTAACACTACACATTTCACAGACGTGTAGCCAGCGCAATCCTTAACTACTTTATAATTGCTAAGGCAGTTTGTTGCTAACCTCTACACTTAGTTAGACTAAGCCTGCTTACAGCAATGCTGCACCACGAACGTTTACTTCTACAGGGGCCTAATAATCTAGATAGGCTCTGCTGCTATGTCCATACTGTTAGCACAGTACGTAATAAAAGGCAGAGAGACAGCAGGGCACTTGTAGAGTTTGCTTGTGGATATATGCACTAAGTTGTGTGGACATTAAGACAACAAGCCTGTTACACATATGTAGTGTTATAGCATACTGTAGGTAGAGTTTGTATGACATAAATAGTAATAATAGACAAGGACAGGGGTAGTTTGCTACTACTTTTAATAGACATGTAAATAGGCAAACTCTTGTAGACACGCTTGTGCAGTCCTTAAGCTTATTTAGTTAGTGTTATGCGAGAATGTAGTGCGTAAATGTAGGACAACGTACAGGGGAGGGAATAGGGGAAACAGTTTACTGGCTAGGAGATACAATGGCTGTAAGATATTAGCCTTCTTTATTAGACACAGCTGCTGCTACTGTCTGCTGCATTATTGTTGTCCAATTGCAGACCTTAAAAGCTAATCAGGTTGAGCTAGCAGCATTAGTCTAAACTCTGCCAGTCCCTATAACAGATGGCCATAGCTGTCCACGCTACTGCTAAGCAAGGCTATAGGTGAACTTAATAACACCTGCCAGACGCTGAATTCGAAGGCCCCCCAGCACCTGCAACTGTTCATGAGTGCGCACGCTGCTGCGCTGAGGAGCTTAGTTACCTACTTTACTTTAAGTTAAGGGAGACAATATGCTAGGAGTAAAGACACATTGTTTAAATTCCTAAGACGTGCAATATGTAGTCCTTTGCATAGATTATGCTAATAAGTATCTTTAGACATTAACTAAGAGCAAGCAGCTACCCCCTTTAAGTGTTTCTATTAAGTCTTTAAAGCAGCTAAACCTATTATATTAGGATAATAGTGGTTAAGAGGTATAATTAATCTTAGGCTCTTTTAATATAACTAATCTTCTTAGGAGTTATCTCTAAGAGTTTCTACAGCGTTATAGAGTAGACTAAGCAGCTTTTAGTAGAAGATAACTGCTTTATTATAACTAGAACTAAATACGCAGAAGGGAGTTTCTAAGGGAAGATTTAACAGCCTTATACGTCCTAAAGACGCTGCTAACATGGTTGGCAAGCGAGTCGGTCAGACAAGCAAGTCGGTCACCCCACCAACTTTGATCACCTACTCTATCTTAACACACAATGCCTCCACGCCGCGCTCTGCTCATGCAGTTAAATGAAGCAGATATTTAGCTTGCTCTCTTATCTATAGATTCTGCCTAAATTCAGAGTACACGACGCGCTGCTACAGTCTTTAATATCCCAAAATTAACCCTAATTGACTAGCGCGCTGGAAAGCGCGCGCGACGCGATTGCCAGCCTAACTTAAGGAAGCTTACCTAGAGAGAAGAGGAGGTTATTGTTAGCTATATACTTCACCTAGATTAGCGTGGATTTGCGCCTACCTACGCAGCTGCACGTGATATGGCTGATAAGCTGCTGGCTGCACGCGGCGCTGGCCAGGTTGGGCAGAAGTGGCCAGCTAACTTTGTTAAGCGTACAGACAGTCTTTAGACGTGTTTTAACTAAGCGTACAATAGGCAGCAAGCTCTGTGTAAGGATGCAATATTAATAAAGAGGTAGTTTAAGCTTATAGAAGAGACAAAGGCTAAGCAGGGTATCTATAATAAGGACGTCTATAACTTTAATAAAGCTAGCTTTATAATAGGCAAGATTACAACGCAGCTAGTTATAACAGGAGCAGAGAGGAGAGGCAGGCCAAAGACTCTTCAGCCAGGCAATCGCGAGTGGGTAACGCTGATCGCTGCTATTAGCGCTGCTGGCTGGTCAGTGCCACCATTCCTCATCTTCGCTGGTCAGTACCACCTATCAGCCTAGTATGAAGAGGATATCCCACGCGACTAGGCGATTGCAGTCAGCGACAATGGCTGGACGAATAATGAGCTTAGAGTTGAGTGGCTAAAGCACTTTAACGCTCACACGCAGGCTCGTAGTATAGGCGCGCGTCGCCTGCTTATTATTGATGGCCATAAGAGCCACCAATCTCTAGCGTTCCAGGAGCTCTGCAAGGAGAACAACATCTACACGCTCTGTATGCCACCTCACTCATCT